CCGAAGTCGGTATTCGCCAGTATTGCGTCATCAATGTTTAGGCGTGTAAGGGCCCTGTGCACAGAAGAAGCTGATCGAACAGCGGCCCAAATTGAGGTGATGAACAAACTTCGGGGTAGTGGATATCCAGCTAGCTTGATTAGGCGTCAATTGCGAAGGGTGTTGGTACCGGTAACCAAACCCAACAGGGAATGGATCGGGACAGGTGTTATTCCATATAAATCAGGGACATCGGAGGTAATTCGGAGAATTAACACCGGGGTTAATAGAGTAGAAGGTGTGGAACTGGCAAGCGTGTGGAGGACGGTTCTGGATCAGTCGAGCTGACACGTGTTGGTGTGCGGTCATCAGAAGGAAGAGTTGTAGCGGACTAGGACCTAACCAGCGTGTTCGGATAAATTAACAAGCAAAAGTAACCAATGCAAAATCACAAAAATCACAATAGGAAAGGAATGAGTAGTCAAATGGGGACTCACGAGTGCGTAGGTTCAGTAGTCCACTACACCGATCTGAATGCAGTAACTGGCTGTGAGAGGAAAATATTCACTCGTCGAGATTTCCTGCAGATGGCTCCGTGTGAGTGAAATATTCCACGGTAGGAAAATTATTCACGGCTAAAAAGTGTCACAGGGATTTATTGTGACGTTTAACAGTTGACACAAACACAGAGATTTAGTCCCACTGGTTCAACAGTCAACAAACAGTTCAACGGGCGTAAATACAGTCGTTCAGCACGAAGTCAGCAGGTCGCGCCGGAAAATTGTGTATTCGTAACATTAAAACAAACGTCATGATACAATGTGAACGACAGTTACAAAGTGTGGTTCAAGTTCAGGCAGAATGGTAAATGTGACAACGGATTACAGACACTACAGGTGTATGATTCCCTGAGTAGCGGGATTCTTTTCAGACTGGCCAAGAAAACAAAGGTGGAACTAAGCCGATATAAGATCGCAGGTTTTTTGGTCCGTTTGATGATCCTGTGGATGTACATCATAGGCCACGTGGAGTGAATAACAGCCAACCAGGTCTTCTTAACAAGGATTGCCGAATTTCAAAGCTTGGGAAGGTGAGGGAATGATCCTGTGTACATCATAGGCCACGTGGAGTGAATAACAGCCAACCAGGTCTTCTTAACAAGGATTGCCGAATTTCAAAGCTTGGGAAGGAAGGTGAACGGAATGAGATTAGTAAACCATGTTGAGTTTGAGGCGACATCAGATTTAATTGAAATGAACGTAAACGGTTATGCAATTGATGAAATGTTATAATGGAAGCAAAAGAAAATATAAAACACCACGCTACTTTCCAACTAGCGCGTCGATCATGAAGGGAAAAACAATGAATGGAAACGTCACTCACTTTCGTAATCAGCCGAGGAAAACGAATGCATCATCCGGAGCGACTAATGGAAGGGGTTAGGTTGATGATAGAGGTTTCGGGAGCAGGTGCAATTGATGGTGCGGTAGGAGGATTGTTGCATGTGATTGTGCGTGCTTCAAAGAAGGCAGGCTTCAGACGGTCAATGGAATTTGCATCATGCTTTTTGCTTCTCTCCAAAACAAACTATTTGGACTGACGTTCGATGAGCTTGAGAGGGGGTTTTGTTGTTGCATCATGTCGGACGAAC